ACAGGCCCAAATGCCCCCGTCACTACCCCGGAAGGGGAATTCCCCGAGACTGCCCGAGTCTCAACACCACCAAAAACCCCGCCCCGAACCTACAGACGGTAAGGAACCAGATGCAGGCAGGAAGGGTGAACCAGGGGAAAGACAAGGGGGCGTGGATGGAACCGAAGCAACCTACACCCCCAAGTCCCAAAACGAACTACAACGGGGCAGCCCCGGGGCTCCCGGGGAGGAAACCACGAGAACGTTGCCACCACCAAGGCTCAAGTGCAACGCCCCTGCTGCCCGCACCCGCTTTGTTAGCACAACTGAGTAACCGAGCCACAACGAGCAACCAAACTCGCAGGACTCCGGGTCGAAGGTGTCACCGACCCCACAGGCAGCAGACAGAGGCAAAACAGAGAGTCACCCAGAGACAAAAGGTGAGAGCAACCCTCAAACTCGCTGGAAGCGAGGGGGGACTCTGGGGTCACATCCATCAGACCCGCGCGCCCCCAGGGGTTTCCCAGGGTCCCGAGCGTTTACTTTAAGAGGACTCGCGCTCAGGTAATCCCAGGCAGGGTACTGCTAACCGGCACCCAAAGCTACCAAACAACTTTCTAAGAGCTGAACCCCCGGGACGTGTACACTCACGGGGACCTAGCAGGGGGTACCACCAGAAAATACTCAGAACACAAGGGACACAAGGGGCAAGAACGAAGGCAGACCCCCCACCAGGTAGATAAACAAAAAGAAAAAGAAAACCCCGCAAGAGGACAGCGTACCCAAGCGGAACAGAGCCGGCCGCTATGATTGGTAAAGACAAGCTGCACAGTACCCCGCGCCCCACCAGTGCAAACACTGCCCCTTACTCTAAGGCGAACAAGGGAGACAGAACACCCGAGCACACAAAGAGCGGCCGAAAACCAAGCAGTAAACGGCCAAGCAGGGGCAGGACCCAAGGAACTTGTGGAAGGTGGCCCCAAGCCCCAAGGGCAGTACTTACAGGGCACCTAGGGAAGGGAACCCTAGGCGCATGCAGCCCGAGTACTGGAGAATCACTCCCGGCTCACGCACCACCTAGAAAACAGACACCACACTCTAGGTACAGTGCTGAAACAACCACTGGAGCCGGAGCACATAACCATTGCCTATAGCATCAGCCGAAGAACTGATGGGTGGATAGCCGGCGTGGGAGGTCTGGGGCTCCCCCTTCCCCCTCCCGGGGAGGGGGAGCTGCGCAGACAGCGGCGCGGTGACGTATGACGTCATTCTAGTTTCCTTGTTTTCTGTTGAAGAGTTCTATCCACTAGTTCGGCTTAGGTAGCAATTTTCACCAGAATAGGGGTTTGTTTTGGAATGCTTACCTTTCTGGATGCTTGACCCGGTCGATGGCAGACATAGAATGCTTCCAACCACACGGGGGTTTCTATAGGCCATTGCTCCCCTTGCCTCTCTGAGGGGGCCAGGTTCTGGCTCGTGGTTCCCGGTAGGCCCTAGAACTCCATACACATGACTGATGCCAAAGTCTGACATTAGCATATCAGCCGGTAAAGCTCCGGGGAGCCGACGGGGCTCCCCCCAGAAAATTAAATAGCTGTACATTATTTATGCCAAAATATGTTACTTTTTGTGGATTTATATACATTATTAATCATTAACATGTTTTATTGGTGGTGAGGGAATTGTTTAATTAATTGTTTATTATTAAACAAATAGTTTTATTTATGAATTATGCACAGTTGACATCTGCGAGCAGGCGCTGACAGACATGTCTGGGTAGCGTCGACCCTGATAGTAGCTCCCTCCTCCAAAGCATGCTGTTCTCATGTTATGAGGAAGACAGAGAGGGAGTGAGGGAGGGAGGCACTGAGCGGGAGAGAGGCAGGGAGGGAGGGAGAGTGAAGAAGGGGGTGAGAGAAGAGTGGGGGGTGAGGGAAGAGTGGGGGGTGAGGGAAGAGTGGCGGTGAGGGAAGAGTGGCAGGTGAGGGAGAGAGTGGGGGGTGAGGGAAGAGTGGCAGTGGGGGAAGAGTGGCAGTGAGGGAAGAGTGGGGGGATGAGAGAAGAGAGGGGGGGGGGGGGATGAGGGAAGAATGGGGGTGAGGGAAGAGAGGGGGTGGAGGGAAGAGTAGGGGGTGAGGGAAGAGTAGGGGGTGAGGGAAGAGTAGGGGGTGAGGGAAGAGTAGGGGGTGAGGGAAGAGTAGGGGGTGAGGGAAGAGTAGGGGGTGAGGGAAGAGTAGGGGGTGAGGGAAGAGTAGGGGGTGAGGGAAGAGTAGGGGGTGAGGGAAGAGTAGGGGGTGAGGGAAGAGTAGGGGGTGAGGGAAGAGTGGCGGTGAGGAAGGGAGGGAGGTGTTTGGTTAATATGGTTCACTTGTTGTGTGATCCACTTGTCCATTTGTGTGATCCAACTTGTCATATGAAGGAATTATTTATTGTAACCTATGAAAGAATAAGCAATAACACAGGAACTAACTTGGAACGCAATTACACAATGAACTTTATTTCATTTTAATTTTATAAAATATATCTTACCTGAATGTTACTTGAAATATTACCAACACTTCAACAACTTTGGAAATACAGGTGCCCCACATTTAACGACCTGCGTACAGCCCCATATAGGCCGTTAAATTGAGTGGATACTTAGTACTATATCAGTATGGATAGCTTCAGGGAGCCTCTGGGGCTCTCCACAGAAAAGCACGATAGCCTTGTGGGTGAGGATTTTAGACAGAAGTATGCAACAATTACATGATGTTACGAAGCATTAGCTGTCTAGTGAGACCATAATACCAGAACCAGTAGCCTCCTGCCTGTCTTTGTGGACGGTTATGTGCTCATTTTGCTCTGAGGCTGTCCGTTGTTTTTTGTGCGTATGAACTGTTTGTGGGGTATGACACTGCTGATATGGCACCTACCAAGGAACTAAGCAAAGAAACCATTGTTCAGATCATTGCTTTTAAGGAAGCAGGCCACCAAAGAAAAGGAAATTAAGTGAATTATTGGGTGTAACCAAGTTGACATGAAGAAGTGTTATGCAGGTTTCTGACCGGGAAACAGTGGTGACACACTTTACAGAAACATGAGTCTGGTCATCCCTGGAAGACTCCAAGGTCTACTCTTGCTGTAAATATGAAGCATACACTCCAATCAATTTCTTAGAACATTCACAGACCTTGAAGACGTTTTCCTGGGATAACCAAATCAATGTTTCTATAGTCGTGTGTCATCAATGTTTTCCCCTTGGAAATGAGCACAATACTTCCTCATATCAACTTAACTACACCCAACAATTCACTTCTTTCATTACTTTGATAGTCTGCTTCCTTAAAAGCAATGATCTGATTAATGATTTCTTTGCTTAGATCCTTGGTGAGTGCCATGAGAACCATATAATACCACAAGCACCACTGTTAACTGCAATAAAACATGGCAAGATGCCAGAGCGAGACGTGCAACACAACAGACCACAAAGAATGACCAGGGGCAACTGAGCCTCCCAGCTGTGCAGCTGCAGGCAACTACAGTAGTAGATACCATGTACCCAGTGCATACTTCTGTCCCTGATATTTCACACACAAGACTAACATTTGGCGGCGTATATTTTTTACGAGTACTTTAGACTTTCCAACTAAGAATAACACCTAGACTTTCCAGCTGAGAGAAACTTACAGTATATAAACTCTCCAATTGAGAGTAACACATACAGAACACACTAAATATACGACAAGTAAACATGCAAAATACCATGGAGGAAAAACGTAAGCCAGTCATATCATCAGGTAATTGTTATGATAACCACAACATAATACTGATTGCCCTCCCCATCACAAAGAAGTGACTACATATATTTTAATTTGTTCTATCACCAGGTAGTGGCCGCTCCATACTAAATTTTAAAAGTAGATATTGTAGGGAAATAGGTCAAGTCATTGCATTAAATTAGCTGGTAGGTAAAAAGGCAGGGTTTAAGAGCTAAAGCTTGATTCTGCAGACTTAAATAAGTGAGTATACAATAACTGTTCCCCGGCAACCCTTTGAAGTGACCTAAAAGATAAAGTCCACAATACCATGGCAAATAATGTAAACTGCATCTTATATAAAGCCCTAATCCGCCCACTCATAACATACGCCCCTGTAGCCCTAATACTTGCAGCCAACACAAACAAGCACACAACACCAAGATACACCTATACAAAGCCCTAATCTGCCCACTCATAACATATGCCCCAGTAGCCCTAATAATTGCAGCCAACACAAAACAAAACTCCAACGCATCCAAAACAAAGTTCTAAGGTGGATATACGACGCCCGTTGGAATGACTTCGTCACAAATGACAGGCTCCACCTCAAGGCCAACAAGCCTTCCTTAAACATATACTGGAAACACCTGGCTAACAAAGAGATACACAGACTAACCACTTACCACCAACACCACACCACATTCCTCACCAACACAATACAGATGCATGAACACTGACAACCTTCTTAACATGCCACAACACTCACCACCAGCACCACTATATACATAACATGCCACTAATACATTAACCACATAAATTACCCCATCCTCTCCATTTAAAACAAAAACAAAATCTCACGATGGCTAGGCAAGACTTCCGGTACCATTGGGACTTCCCAGATGCTTGGGTGGACATGATTAGTGATAATATATACCCTGATTACAAGACCTGCAGCTGGGTTAAGCCCTGGCACTACTCTCTCCATCTGCGGCATTTCCACTCCAGACTATTCTTCCATCTGTCCCGACTTTCCGCTCACACTTTACCTGAACAATCGATTGATTGATTAATATGGATGATGGAGAAGATTACCTCCAGATACCATAGTGATGTTCCAGGGAAGGTTTAAAGTCTCAGATGGGTACCAATTAGGTACTTCCGAGATCTTTCCTTATTTTGAGTATCCATGACCTGGTTGGCAGGACAATGGTACTGCATAGTACAGTTTGACACTCCACTGATCCAAGTGAATAAGTGACCGAAAATTGTATTTGTTCTTACCATCATTAAAGGGTCCGGAGTAGTGCTTGTAGATGCTTGGGTAGCCAAGTAGTGGGACTGGCTGCGATACTATTCCTCCTTGGTGGTCAAGTAGTAGGACTCCTTGTGCATGTGATCTTCCTTGAGGGGTAAGCAGTGCAATTTGTAGTGTTTGGAATCGTCCTTAACACAACAAAACAGGACCAGTCAAGTGAATGATCCTCTTTAGTGGCCAAGCTGTGGGATCAGTAGTATTTGTGATCCTTCTTGGTGGCCAAGCTGTGGTAATGGATGCACAGTCACCTGTAGGTGATAGATATTTGAATTATAGTCACCATATTTAATATAGGCATAATTAAGAAAACATTTACATAAAACTAAGATAAGGTTTGATCCCTTTAGGGAAAGCAAAAGAATCCTTGGGCTGGCATACCTCACCATATCAGGAGACCACAGTGAAGAACAGGTGATGAAACTGAGAAAAAGTGAGGACAGGCTTACTGAGAATAACAAGGTGGTGTGCAAAGAACTCAACAAGACATTCCAGGAGGAATTCAGAAAAAAGCAATGAAAAGTGTCTGAGTTGAGAGACTGCATTAAACCAAGCAGCACTGAAGGAGTTTGATATTACCAGAGATGAGGTTAGAAGGCTCATCCAAAATCTAGCTTAAGTTTCGGCCCCATTGACAGCCTTGTTGCGGACAAAAGTTAAATTTGTTTGGACCTCGGAACATGTGCAAGCATTTAATAAAATTAAAGAAATCTTATCCCAATATCCTGTTTTGAGAGTCCCTGAATTTTCCAAGCATTTTGAGATTCAGTGTCACTCCTAATATAGCGATGGGAGCTTGTTTAACCACTGCACTGCGCAGAGCGCCTTGTGGCCCTGGATCGAGGGTGCGCAGAGTGCCATGTGGCTTTTTAATTATAGGGGAGCGATTCAAAACTATACGGGGTTCACCAGGAACCCAAACCCGGCTAGCTGGAAAAGCACCACACCCCTGACGAGCAGACACACGGACTGACTGGGAGCCCAAACCAGCCAGTTGTCGAGGTAAGCCAACACCCAAACACCTAACAGATGCAGAGAAGCCATAACGACATGGGTAAGACGTGTGAACATGAGAGGTGCCAGGTTCAACCCGAACGGGAGACAACGAAAGCAGTAACTCTGACGCCCCACAACAAAACCGAGCCAGTCCCTGAACCTCGGATGAATCGGGACGTGCCAATATGCGTCCTTGAGGTCCAGGGACACCATTCAAGAGCCCTGCTCCAAGAGAAGCCAGACCTGGGACAGAGTGGTCATCCGAAAGGAGGGACAAAAAACCCAGGGGTTCAGACAGTACATGTCCAGAATGAACCACAGGTCCGCACAGTCCCGTTTCAGAACTGGAAACAGGCGGGAAACCTACCTGAGGGACGTCGTTGTTTCGACCATGCCCAAGCACACCCACTCCAAGATGACTTGACAGAGCACAGAAGAGGCCTGCCCTGCTAGCCCCGAACCTCCAGGAGGAGGAGGAGCCACCCAACGCCACCGAAGGCCGTGAAAAACGTCCCAAAAAGCCCACGAATCATGGGACTAGGCGTGAGTGAACAGAGCAAGCCTACCCCCCATTGCCCCGTCAATGGGGTGAACCACGAAACACCCGATGCCCCCTACGAGAACCCGACCTGCACACAGAGCAAGCACCGCACCAACCAGACAAAGGTTAGATGCAGGTCGGTCTGCTACCAGTTTCAGATGCAGGTTGCAGACCGGCTCTGAAACTGGCACCTGTGGCCCACCTAGACGGGCGGAACCGCAGGCCCCGGCACGACCCCTCTGGGAGGAACCCACCCTGGACCCTCGAAGAACCAAAAGGTCACTGTATATCAATTCTGCCAACCTTATCAAAAACATTTGAAAAGCTAATTACAAGCAGCTCAACTCTTATCTAGCCAAACATAATATACTTAGCTCTTGCCAATATGGCTTCAGACCCAAAAAAAAAAGCACTAACAATGCACTGATTAGTATGATTAACTTGATACATACAGCTTTTGATAAAAATGAGTTCCCTGTTGGGTTATTTATTGACCTATGCAAGGATTTTGACACTATCAACCACCAAAACCTTTTTCTTAACCCTTAAGCTGCTAAGGGGTCCGGAGGAGATTTACACCCCTGTGCGCAAGAAAACTAAATTCTAAAAAATTATTTCGTCTTCTAAAAATGTTAATTTGTGCTCCCTACTGAGCACGGGAAAAATAAAAAAAATTGTAGGTGACATATTTTGGGAGCAACAGACTGAGGAAATCTGACAAAAAGTGAGCGTTGACAGAGCGGTCGTCACAGCCGGTCAGCGTCACCCGAGCTGAAAGGTGGGAGTTGCCACAAAGATATTATCACTTAATTATTTCAATGTCTGATTTTTTTTTAGTTTTTTTTGCAGCAATATCATTCAATAATGTTCATTGTGATATATTTATATAATAAAAGGGGTGAATAATAGCTATACTCAAAAGTATGGTGTGCATATTAGATGATTCAATTATTATGTTCATAAAACAATAAACAAATAGTTTTGCTGTTATTACACTCTATACACAGGTTATATATAAGTATCTACATGTTTTGTTCACCATAACGAACCACTAAGTTGGTACTGAGAGTCGAAAAGCAACGAGGAGTGACCTCCACACACAGCCAGCCACTCATTGCCACTCCCTCAACAACGCTTCATTCGCCCACTTTCTCCTCCCACCATCCTGTTTTATATTTTATTCACAATACCTGTATACAGACGTTATATATAAGTATCTACATGTTTTGTTCACCACAACTGTACAACTAAGCTGATGTAGTTAGTTCAGGCACTAAGAGTCGTCGCTACACACAGTCAGCTGGCGGCTCCCTCACTCATTCAAGGTCACACACACTAAACTTTCTCCCCCAACAATACCGTTTGTGGTGTTATTACACTATATACACACATTATATATAAGTATGTATATGTTTTGTTCACCACAACTGTACAACTAAGCTGATATAGTTAGGTCAGGCACTAAGAGATATCGCTACACACAGTCAGCTGACGGCTGCCTCCCGCACTCATTCAAATTCACACGCACTAAAATTTCTCCCCCAACAATACTTGCTTGATACTTGCTTGATGGGGTTCTGGGAGTTCTTCTACTCCCCAAGCCCGGCCTGAGGCCAGGCTCAACTTGTGAGAATTTGGTCCACCAGGCTGTTGCTTGGAGCGGCCCGCAGGGCCACATACCCACCACAGCCCAGCTGATCCGGAACTTCTCTTAGAAAACAGTCCCGTTTTCTCTTGAAGATATCCACGGTTGTTCCGGCAATATTTCTTATACAGGTAGTCGCTGGGAGGACGTTGAACAACCGTGGACCTCTGATGTTTATACAGTGTTCTCTGATTGTGCCTATGGCATCTCTGCTCTTCACTGGTTCAATCTTGTATTTTCTTTCATATCGTTCACTCCAGTACGTTGTTATCTTACTGTGTAGATTTAGGACCTGACCCTCCAGTATTTTCCATGTGTATATTATTTGGTCTCCTTTCTAGAGAGTACATTTGGAGAGCTTTGAGACGATCCCAATAATTTAGGCGTTTTATCTCGTCTATGCGTGCCATATGTGTTCTCTGTATTCCCTCTATTTCAGCAATCTCTCCTGCTCTGAAGGGGGAAGTGAGTACTGAGCAGTACTCGAGACAGGACAACACAAGTGACTTGAAGAGTACAACCATTGTGATGGGATCCCTGGATTTGAAAGTTCTCGTAATCCATCCGATCATTTTTCTGGCTGATGTAAGCAATATTTGCTTGGTTATGCTCCCTAAACGTTAGAGCGTCGGACATCATTATTCCCAAATCCTTGACATGCTGTTTTTCTACTATGGGAAGATGCGATTGTGTTTTGTACCCTGTATTATGTTTCAGATCCTCATTTTTGCCGTACCTGAGTACCTGAAATTTATCACTGTTAAATATCATGTTATTTTCTGCTGCCCAATCGAAAACTTTGTTGACATCTGCTTGTAGTTTTTCAATGTCTTCAGCAGAGGTATTTTTCATGCTGATTTTTGTGTCATCTGCAAAAGACGACACGAAGCTGTGACGTGAATTTTTGTCTATATCTGATATGAGAATAAGGAACAGTAGCTGTGCAAGGACTGTACCTTGAAGTACAGAGCTTTCAACATCGCTTGGACTCGATTTTATTTGATTGACTGTTACTCTTTGTGTTCTGTTCGACAGGAAATTGAGAATCCAGCATCCTACTTTTCCAGTTATTCCCACTGACCTCATTTTGTGAGCTATCACCCCATGGTCACATTTGTCGAACGCCTTTGCAAAGTCTGTGTATACAACATCTGCATTTTGCTGTTCTTCTAGGGCTTCTGTGATTTAGTCATAGTGGTTGAGTAACTGTGACAGACAGGATCTTCCCGCTCTAAATCCATGTTGTCCTGGGTTGTGCAATTCATTGTTTTCCATAAAACTAGAAATTTGATTCCTAATCACTCTTTCAAACACTTTTATTATGTGTGATGTTAGTGCAACTGGCCTATAATTTTTTGCCAAGGCTTTACTCCCCCCCCCCTTGTGCAATGGAGCTATATCTGCAGATTTAAGTGCTGCTGGTATCTCCCCTGTATCCAGGCTCTTTCTACATATTACGCTGAGTGCTCTCGCTACTGGTACTTTAATTTCTTTATGAAAATTGAATTCCATGAGTCAGGCCCAGGAGCTGAGTGCATAGGCATATTGTCAATTTCTCATTCAAAGTCTTCCGAGTTTGTGGTAATATCTGTTATATTATCTGCAGCTTGAATGTCATTCATAAAGAAGCTGTCTGGGTCATCAACTTTCATGTTGTTTATTGGTGTGCTAAACATAGCCTCATACTGGCTTCTTAGAATTTCACTAATCTCTTTGTTGTCCTCTGTGTACGTACCTTCATTTGTAATTAACGATCCAATACTGGTCGAGGTTTTTTATTTTAATTTTGCGTATGTGAAAAAATATTTCGGATTTTTCTTTCTCTTGTATAGCTTTCTGTTCCAATTTCATTTCCTCAGACTCATATGATCGCTTCAACGTTTGTTCTATTTCTTCGATCTCCCTGCTTAGGCTTATTTTCCTTGCTTGTGATAGTTGTGTCTGCCAAAGCATTTCCGTTATTTTTTCCTTCTCCTGTACAGTCGTCTGCGTTCTGTTTCTAGAGTGGTCCTCTTTCTGCCCCCTCCTCACAGGCACGTGCTTCAAGGAGACCCTTTAAGCTTCAGCTG